GTTAGTAATATCTAAGGTAGCTAGTCTTCTGAAAAAAAGTAGCAAGTTTTTCATGTATTTTTACAGGTGAAATTTTAATATTTAAAGCTCGAAATTTCTCTTTACAAAATTGAGTTTAATTTTCCAGGAAAAAGGAGTGATTTTTGGGGGGAGGGGGCAAAGGTGTTTTGTAGAGAAACTCCCTAGTGGCTTAATCAGCTGGAGCTGGTTTGGCCCTAAAAAAATTTAGGAATTTTTGTGGCTTGGTTAATGGAGAAGGAAATGGCCACCCACTCCAGTATTTTTGCCTGGAAGATCCCATGGATGGAGGAGCCTGGCGGGCTATTGTCCATGGGTCACAAAGAGTCGGACTGACTGAGTGACTAACACTACCCGAGAGCTTTGAGGCTCTTTGTGTCCTTTGGCTCAGGCTGCTGGCCACTTAAAGTATTGGTAGCTTAAAATCGACAGTGCTGTGAGGTTTTATACCATGGAACTTGGCAAAATGCCACAAATCAGGACCCGTCATAGCATATCTCCGTACAATTTAAAGATGAGATCATTGTGAAGTTTGATGTGATGACAAACTATTTTATGGTGAATTTTAATATGTCACGGGTAAATTGTACCCTTAAGATTTAATTGCTGTATAAATTAGTGAAGTGAAGTTGCTCAGTCATGTGTGACTCTTTGGGACCCCATGGACTGTAGCCCACCAGGCTCCTCTGTCCATGGGATTCTCCAGGCAAGAATATTGGAGTGGGTTGCCATTTCCTTCTCCAGAGGATCTTCCTGACCCAGGGATCGAACCTGGGTCTCCCGCATTGTAGGCAGATGCTTTTACCATCTGAGCCACTAGGGAAACATAAATTAGAAATCAGTATAATAATTACACTTAACGTGGATGTGAACACCATCATTCAATATCAGAGGAGGTCCATTTGTATATTTTACACTGGTTCCTTTGTATATTTATGCAGCATGTGTTTTTGAGTGATTAATGACCGAGTGAATTTTTTTAAACACCCCCCCTTAAAAAGTAAAAGAAAAATATTGTTTTTCAATAAAAAGGAAATATGTATTTAGGAGAAAAATGTCCTCAAATTTTAGAGCCAAGTTAGGGCAAATTCAGAATTTTAAGTTTTACTTTCAATATCCCAATAGGAAGAAAATCTTGTGAGAAAAATACCTTGTTAGGCTTCAGATATTTGTTATGAAGAGATACAGGTTCCATCCATGGGTCAGGAAGATCACCTGGAGCAGGAAATGGCAATGCATTCCAGTCTTATCTGGGGAAATCCTATGGACTGAGGAGCCTGGTGGGCTGCCGTCTATAGGGTCACAAAGAGTCGGACATGACTGAGCATACTTACACACACATTTGTTATAATGGTTATAATTCCCTATTAAAAAAAATGGTTTCATAAAATGCTCACTGTTTGCTTGGCTTTTTCTTGCTCATCTAGTGAAATAAACCACATGTGAGATCTTTTTGAAACTGACGAGTTTGTGGGTTCCACTTCCTGTTGTGAGGAGTTAGACATATCTCAAACTTACTGAAGTTCTCAAGATTGTTTTCATTCTCTCATGTAAATCAATTTAGGTTTCAAGTTCATGTCGATCAAGTGAAAATGCAATTCCTTCTAATTTATCGTTCCTGTAATATGCAGCTCTGCTTCTGGTTGGGGGAAGGTTTGAACACTTATACAGATTTTATGATCATTTGCCCTAGGAAAAGTTCTGTCTGAGGTGTAGGGCTGACTCAATGACTAAACTCCTTGCCCTCCTTTTTTAAAAAAAAAGTCTGAATAAGGTCCTCTTAGTTTTGGGTGCTCCCCCTGCTCGAGGTATTGTCCAGCCTAGAGCCCCACTTGTCATTAGTCCAGAGGCAAGAATCTAGCATAGACCGAGGCCTGTTTTGGGGCCAAGTTGAGACACAGCATGCAGTTTGATAGAGGGTTTTCTCTAGAAGCAGCCATCAGCTTGTATGGTAGAATTGGAAAGACCTTGTCAAACTGTGCTGTGCTGAGTCGCTTGAGTTGTGTTAGACTCTTTGCGACCCCATGGACTATAGCCCACTAGGCGCCTCTGTCCATGCGATTTTCTAGGCAAGAATACTGGAGCGAGTTGCCATTTTCTCCTCCAGGGGATCTTCCCAACCCAGGGATTGAACCGATGTCTCTTATGTCTCGTCTCCCGCATTGGTGACAAGAGATGCCTTTATCACTAGCATCACCTGTTAAGCCTAGGAGCCCATAATTGATGGATGGAGGAGATTCGCTTGCTCCCAGTCAGGAGGGATAGGGATGGAATGTGGACTGCCTCCCTTCACGGATCCTACAGCCTCCTCTCCTACTTTCTCTTCTTTTCTAAGCCGTTCTTTTTGTATAAGCTAATGTGATTGACCTTGTTCAGATGGGCCAGAATGGTCTAGGACTGCCTCTGCCTACAATTCCCTTTTCTTCCTACTCCCCTGTGGTTCTTAATTTGTCTCGAGAGCTTCCTGGGGTCTCCTGGACCCCAGATTCTCTTAAATTGTTCCCACTGTCTAAAGTGACTCAGTTTCTTTTTTAATCCTGGCTCTCAGTTAAGTTCTAGCTATCCAAATAATATACATTATCCAAACAATATATTTGGGCTAAAATATTTTGTTAATGGGCTTTGCTGAACTCAGATAATTGCATATAGAAAAAACCCCAGGAGAAAGAACATTTGAGAGAAGAGAGGGAATTTTAGACCAGGATGCAGGTCAGTGTGGGAGATTATCTTATGAAGTGGAAATGACTAGAACTTGCTAAAAAATGCCTAAATTTTAGCTGCCTGTCTTGACTCTTAACATGTCTTCTCTGGCCTAAAATTTAGGGCAGTTATTGCCTTTGTCATGTTCATTTTTCAAAAGGATGATTTATTTCTTCAGGGATAAAGTTTTATTCTAATATTTGTAAAATAAAAAGTCAGTATGAGGTTTCTCAGGAAATATAGTTTAAGGCACTTTAACTTCATCACTGAAGTTAAATATTGAGAGAGATATATCTGAGAGAAATATAAATCCTACCTATCCTAAAACTTACTAGGAAATTTTTTGTTATTAGATATGAAGTATTTGTTTATATCTATAATCATATAATATTATAGTGCATACATACAGAATTTTTAGTTTTTAGTGCAATTTTGTATACAGTCATATTAAATACTTACTAGACTTGTGGGATTGGAATTATAAATATCTTGATTTTACAAATGAAGGAAGTTGGTTTTGAGTGCTAAACTGACTATTCCCTGGGTAACACAGCTACTAATTATAACAACTGTAAGTTGATTTCAGGTCTCTGAATTTAAAAATCCCATCTTACTTCCACTCAGTCATATTCCCTCTTCAAACATATAATAGAACCATTGTAATTATTAGAGCGATAGTTAGATGCAGAGGATATTAGCCAGGTGCATCTAGAATAACTTTATAAGATCTTGTAATAGGATTGCATCCCAATTTTTAGAACTCCTCTTCGATTATATACATTTTTTTTTTTTCAAATTCTCCACTCAAAAGATTATGTCATTTAACCCTGACTGAATTCAGGTTAGATATCATGGAGGAAAAAAAATCACACACACACACAGAGCCAGTTGAAAGCATTTTCTTTCTATTTTTGTTTAGTCTGATGATTTTACATGAATTGTTTAAAATGTACTGTGAAAAATGTGTGTTTCAGATATAGCATCTATTTTTTCTAATTTAAATCTTAGAAGAGCTAGTATAAAATAGAAATAGGTAATTAATTTATCTTCCATAAGACAATATATGAATTAAACCTGGCTGCAAATCAGAATCTCCCAGTAAGGAGGGTTGATAGGTACTTATACCTCACGAAAAGAGGTTGTGGAACTTCTTTTTCTGGGATGTTTAATTCATGTGGTTTACATGCAACCCCGTGGAGGTAGCAGGACCATGAATTTAGTAGTCTGATGTAAACCTGTAGTCGTGTGAGATTGTAATGGTTGGCTTCCAGGTTTATTTAAATAATTGCTGCTCTTTAGAAATGGCACAAAATGAAGCATGCTATAAGTTTTTCTTCTCTCACAAAAAATAAAAGGGGAGATATTTTTATTATTTTTAAGAACTTGAGTGAACACTATCCTGTCATAACTAAAGTGGTAGTGAGAAAGGTGACTGTGGGTGGAAACAGGAAACATTAGTGATAAATGCTGTGTTAAGTCTTTTTTTCAGGTGCAGCTAGATGTCTATTGATTCTAATTAGCACATTTTGTGCCTCAGCTAGTAAGCGCCCCTTTAGCTCTGCTTGGAGAGTTTTTTTTTTTTTTAGCTTCCATCCTGCTCATAAACACTGCCACCTCCTCCCTCCTTCTCTCTTTACAAATGTTACAACACAATCAGAAATTTCCTCTTTTCTCTCCTTCCTGCATTTCCAGCAGGTTCCCTTGCGTCAGAAGCAGAGAAAGAAAACTCAAGGTAATTAGATCTTTTGTTTCTTTATCCCCTATTTGTGTGTGTGTGTGAGTGTCGTGTTCTCCTGGATGTCTTCTTTGGGATCTGATTTTTGTCTGTCTTAATGCTAATACCAGGACGTGGATGGCAGATTAATGTGGGGTTCTTGTTTTTGGATCGATTTTAAGAAATGATGGCTTGCTGTTCATTTGGATTAATCCCCGTGGCATGTCAATAGAGCTTACAAAGACTGGCACTGAGTCGGCAAGTGGCTGTGTTTCTAGGTGGGCATTAACCCTTTTCCATCTCTTGCATAACTACTGCTATTATTGTTGAAACAAGCTGGTTAGTGCAGTGATGTGCCTGCCAGAATCATGATTTTCATGTTTTCAACTTACTCGATTGAAGAATGTTCTTAGACTTACACCTGCCTGTGTCTCACTGTTTCTTTGATCGTGTCCCTTCTAAGCACCAAATGAATGTTTAAAAATAAAATCGATACTTTATGTTTCACATTCACTTTGCATAAATCTTGGTACAAAAATCCAACTTCCTGAAGGTAAACAGCGTACAGTTCCCTTTCACTCTGTCTTATAAATCAGGATACGACGTTACCTACTTTTTCATGTACTCGTTTGCAGGTTTCTTCAGCATGAGTCGAAGGAGGATATCGTGTAAAGACCTGGGACATGCTGACTGCCAAGGGTGGCTCTATAAGAAAAAGGAGAAAGGAACTTTCCTAGGCAACAAATGGAAAAAGTTCTGGGTGGTCCTGAAGGGATCGTCACTGTACTGGTACAGCAATCAGCTGGTGAGTCCAGTCTTCCTCCTCTTCCCTCTTCAACAAAGGGTGGGTCAGAGATCATGATGGAGCAGGTGGTCCCTATGGGAAAGATCATTTCAAGTTCTGGGACTTGGAATAGAGCAAATAAACCAATAAGCTCTAGAAACTGCTTCTGTGGATATGTAGGTTTTTCTGTTGTACTTGGAGGAGAAAACCATCGGGCTTGACTGATCTTTGGTTGGAGAGGAGCATCCCGATGTATACCTGTCTTGAAGGAGGATTTCAGGGCCTGTTAATGTTACTCTTCCATGAGAGATGCTAATCATTTCAGGATTTTCATGGACAACATGTGCTATGGACACTTGACTTTGCTAAGATCTCTACTGAAAAAAGGGTCTCAACTTTAAGAAAAGTTGAGGGTATAAACTGATTCTGTCCACCGAAGCTGTTTCCATTTCTCCTCCTTCATTATTTTCTTTTCCTCTGACCTTCTCTATTGGGAGGTGTGTGTGTGCAGGGCTTGGTTTTGGAATCTCTAACCTGCGTGCCGACATTGTGTTGGTGACTGTCATCTCTTGTTTTTTGGCATGTACACTGATGGCTTTAAACTAATGATCCTCGGACAAGTCTTGATAAGAAAGTTGCCTAATTTATCCTGTAACAGGCAGTGTACTTTTGAGATCTGTTTTGCAGGCGAGTTTTCTGTTGGAAAGGGCTGGAAATAAAGTTATTGTTAAAATGTGTGATGATCAAAATTTTAAAAAAATGTGTGCTGATCTTTCCTGGCTTGAGGCATCCTGAAAACAATGATGTTGTTGAATATTGACCAGAGATCTTTCAAAAAAGAACCCTCTCCACTAACCCCAAGTAGCCAATTGCTGATCTCAGGAGAGCTTGTTTCCCATTTCTGTCGAGTGAAGGTCAGCAGTGGATGTCCTTTAATCTATTAAGGGGAAATCATTTAAAAATTGACCACAAGCCAGAACAGTTCTTTTTATGTGACGCCATTCTTTTAAAGCGTCTTGTGTATGCCCATCTCTCAAGCAACAGAGCTTTAGGGCAAAGAACTTTATAAATGTAAAATAAGTGCCCGGTGTAGTTTGAGGGTGAAATTTTCAGCTGAGAAATTTACATTCACTGGCCACTAATCGAAAACTTGTGTATCCACGTGACCCAAGGCACCTGTCCTGTAAGGATCTGGTTAAACTGGACTCAGATGCAACCCCAGTGCCCTGGAATCAGCTCCCTCTCTTGTGCCTCTCTCTGTATGCCCCCCCGCCCCGCACCCTGTCTCCTGCTCCCAAGTTTATTGCTTTGGTTTCACCCAAAACCTGGTACAACATTCGTCACTGCGTTTTACAAAAATATATATTTCTGAGTTTTAGCAATTTTATCAAAGATTTGGGAGGTTCACCAGTAAGAACCACCTTGCAGAATGTGTCGTCCTCCACTGTCTCCTTGATCTCTCTTGTTCTCCTCTCCTGGATGCATTCCCCATCTCATCTAGCATGGAATGGTTTTATTTCAATTAAGGCAAGCTTGGGCTGGGCTCTCACCTTCTATCCTAAGGGTTTTTTTCCTAAACGAATACAGCTTCCTTCTTTTAATTTTTTTTAATGAGAAAGTTTAAGATTTGTTTACTATAAACTTTCAAATATGCAATACAGTATTATTTACTATAGTCACATTATTGTACATTACATCCCTATGATTTATTTACTTTATAACTAACAGTTTGTACTTTTACTATCTTCACCCCTTTTGCTCATCCCTCAGTCTCCACCTCAGAGAGCCACCAACCTGTTATCTGTATCTCTGAGCTTGGGTTTGTTTCTTTCTTTTTTAAAGATTCTACATAAAAGTGAACGCATACAGGATTCATCTTTGTCTAATTTATTTCACTTAGCATAGTGCCTTCAAGGTCCATCCATGTGGCAAGTGGCATTTCACAAGAAATGAAATTCACAAGAATTTCATTATTTTTATAGCTGAATGTGTGTGTGTGTTAGTGGTTCAGTCGTGTGAGATTCTTTGTGACCCCCATGGACTGCAGTCGCCAGGCTCCTCTGTCCATGCGATTCTCCAGGCAAGAATACTGGAGTGTGTTGCCATTCCCTCCTCCAGGGGATCTTTCTGACCCAGGGATTGAGCCCAAGTCTCTTGCATTACAGGCAGATTCTTTATCATCTAAGCCACCAGGGAAGCCTGTCATAGCTGAATAATATTCTATTATTTACATATCTCAGTCAGTTGAGTTCAGTCACTTAATTGTGTCCAACTCTTTGTGACCCCATTGACTGAAGCATGCTCACATCCTTTAAATCCACTCATCCATTGATGAACATTTGGATTGTTTCTGTATCTTGGCTATTGTTAATAATACAACTTCCTTCTTATGAAGGTTAATAAATTAGGGTTAATATAACTTTCTCCTTCTCATTTATAATATTTTAGGCTTTTTCTTTTGGCTAGTTGTGGCAAGTTTTAGTCTGCATCTTTTATGAAATGAGACGGCTTACTAATTTACTTTTTAATAGCTCTTTAGGAATTTTCTGAGACTGTTGGGAGCATTGGGTGCTGATGGAGCAGAGCACATCTGTGGGAAGTAAAAAAGCTCAGAAATAAGCCTGGCATTAATTTCCTCATTCAATCGCATTTTTCCTCAAATATGTTCTGGGTGCTGTTCCTATCTTCATAGAATTGAATCCCCTCTGAACCACACATAGTTATAGAGTTGGCTTATTTGGCCTCATCAGTTCATTTGGCTTATTTCTCTTAAGGGAGCAATGAATTACCTATTTTAGGCATTAGGAATCTCATGCTTCCATAGGGAACAGCACTGTTGATGGAGACTTGATGAAAAGGAGGAAAAGAAGGGACCATATAACCCCCTTGAGCGCCCCTGTCCTCAGTTGCTGCCATACAAACACAGAAAGCAACACTCAGGGAGCAAATCATGAATTTGAGTAGAAATAGATTAGCAACGTTGAATGGAGATAACATTGTTATCTGGCCAGAGAATTATCCTATTCAGCTAGTGGTATATAACAGAACAACCCTTTCAGCTCCCTAATTCTATGCTTCTGTATTATAGAGGAGTCATCTCTACACACACACACACATACACCCTGACATCTTAATTATATGTTTGTTTTGGGGAAAAAAGGCTACTCAGTGAATACTTAATTAAGAGTCATAGTCCTGCCATCCGTGTGAATATCAACTGTGAAGTCAGAGTCAGACAGATACCCTCAGGCTGAGAACATTTATTTACTTTAAGCCGCTCCAGGAATTCAGACTCCATAAAGTAGCTCCCAAGGCATCTATGCCCTATGAAGAGACTTCTTTTTCTTCTACCTTTCCTGTTCCCCATTCTTTTTCATACGGTAACGAAGCTGATAGTTTCATAGCCAGAGCCTCCTCTTATCAAAGGCCTGCCAAATGCCAAGGGAGAGTCGAAGTACCTTTCCTACATGCTTTTTTAAAAAACTCCTCCAAAATACCCTCTGAAGTAGCAGCTGTCACCACGCTTTGAATGTTGGGAGAAGGCTGAGACTCGGGGAACTCACACACATTCTCCAGGTGATCCAAGTGCTAACGGGGTAAGGCAGACCCCCTTAAGCCCCTTAGACTTCTCAGCCCTAGGCTGTTGTCCTGTGCCAACCTGATTCCATGGGGAGACCAGGATAAGCTTGGTCCCGTGTGGTTCCACCCCGCTATTGTCTGCCTTCAGTGGGGCTCAAAAAGAGCAACTCTGGAGGTGAAATGTGAGGCTGGGCTTCTGTGCAAGTCCAGCTGAGGTCGTGGCATCCCTCTGCTTGTCGCTCTTGTTCCCTGACAACCTGACGAGACAGCACTCTCACCTCTCTCAGGGTTTTGTTATTGTCGTTACCTAGTAACCGACACATGGTGTACTTCCTTCTTCCAGCACTCTTTGCTGCTTTAAAAAATGCTGCGCAGATTTTCTTGAGAAAGGTCAAGTCCAGACATTCATCTATCGCTTTTCACACCCCATCTTATGTGCATAGAATCTCATGCTGCACACAAGAATTTATGCCATGTTTTACAAAACCATATTCAAGTTGAACAGCCTTAAAAATCCAGGCTGTTTAAAATCCTGGATTGAAATCCATACAAGTGCTTTTCCTTGCCCCTAAAGTACCAGTTCATTTCCTGGCTCCTGATAATCTCCTGGCCTATATCTATCTTACTCTCCCCACCCTCTCTATATTGCCACCCAAGCTGCAACTGCAGAACTAATTTTAATTCTTTATTAATGGCATGTATGCCAGCTCTCTCTTTAAGCCTTTGCATATGCTGTTTATTGGCTCAGATAACTCTTTGTCTTCACCCCCTAAAGTCTTTCTCCCACTCAATCCCATCAAGCTTACTCTTCCTCCTAAGTCAAATTTTAGGTTGAATAGCTGATCCCCTTAATGTCCTTACCTTTCCTCTGACCCAGATTAGGCCCCCTCTTCTATGCCCATGGCAGCCTATACTTAATACTTATTACACTTATCTTCCTCTTTTGTACATCTTGTTGTATGTGTTTAGTCGCTCAGTCATGCCCAACTCCGTGTGACCCTATGAACTGTAGCCTGCCAGGCTCCTCTGTTGATGGGATTCTCTAGGCAAGAATGATGGAGTGGGTTGCCATGCCCTCCTCCAGGGGATCTTCCTGGCCCAGGGATTAAAGCCTGGTCCCTCATATTGCAGTCGGATTCTTTACAGTCTGAACCACCAGGGAAGCCCGTACATCTTGTTGATCTTGCTGTTTTCCATAACTGACAATAATCTCTGTGGAGCAAGATTGAGTATATCTTTAGCACCTTAGGCAGTGTCTGACACTTAACAGGCACTCATGTTGTATTTGTTGGTTTTATAAATAAACAAGATTTAGGAATCACCAGCATTTACCTTACCCGTGGGGGTTTTGAGAAATGGGCTGGTGAGTAAAGGTGGCTTTTGATGGAAAATAATTTTCCAGTAAAATTACCTCTATTAAAAATAAAATAGTCATACCAAGT